TTATTTTCTATAAGCAAAGATTCCAAACTCAGACAGGAGCTAAGATATTTTCCAACAACTTCTCCACCATGTGTAACCAAACCGCAACCATTCATATTCAAATATTTTAAAGTACCCGAATGGGAAATTGCTTTTAGCAGATATTCAGCGCCATTTGCCGCAATTTTATTATAGGCAACATTCAATTTTAATAAATTTGAATTTTCGTTATATAAATATTCGGCAATTATTTCCATATCACTGGCATTCATTTCACATTTTTCCATTTCAATGGCTTGTAATTTATTTTGCCATATTAATGATGACAGAACCAAAGCAATTTTTTGAGAATCTAAGTTTAACGAGTTGCCCAATAAACGATTACATGTAAAGGCTTTTAAAGTTTGAGATTTGTGTACCCCATCAGCTAGATTGGCAATGTTGTATTGATTTATACTGCACGAACCAACGTGGAGTTTTTGAAGGGTTCGCGAATCGATAATGAATTGACGTAAATTCAGTATATCGCAGTCAGTTAAGGGAGTTCCTGCAATGTACAAAAAAATCCTTATGTTCGGAAAATATATATAATTCACTCTGCTTAGAAAATTGGGCTAGAAACTTCAACATAGCGAACCAGTAAGGAAAGTAGTAAAGTCGGACTGGGCCGACTATATGACACCCTTCACCACTTTGGGTATATTCTACATATGTATCCTAACAGACAACGCGTTTTTGTTATATATCTATATCTGTACCGATTACATGGAAACTTGCCAGAGACTATTTTATATTACATCAATACGTTGCGTCAATCTAGACTTAATTCAGTACCTTATACCAAAATGCACCAATTACATAACATCGTACTCAAATATATATATGGGGACTATATCTAAATCTGAACCGATTTTCACGAAACTTAGCACACGTCATTCTAGCCTTAATTCAATATGCTATGACAAGTTTCGTGCAAATTGAACGATTTGCAGAGACTTTGGTGCACCAATTACCCAAAATCGGATGAAAATATATATATATATATATATATATATGGGATCTATATCTAAATCTGAACCGATATTCACGAAACTTAGCTCACATTTTAATAGAAGGTATATATATATATATATGGGAGCTATATCTAAATCTGAACTGATTGTCACGAAACTTTGCACACATCAATCTAGACTTAATCCAGTACGCTATGCCAAAATTCGAGGAAATCAAAACATTTCCAGGGACTTTAGTGGACTATTTACCTAAAATCGGGCAAAACTATATATGGGAGCTATATCTAAATCTGAACCGATTTTCACCATACTTTGCACACATCATTCTAGACTTAATTCAGTACGCTGTGCCAAATTTCGAGCAAATCGAATGATATATAGGGACTTTGGTACACCATTTACCTTAAATTGTGCGAAGATATATATGGGAGCTATATCTAAATCTGAACCGATTTTCACGAAACTTGGCAGACATCATTCTAGACCTTATTCATTACGTTGTGCCAAATTTCGTGCAAATCGAAAGATATAAAGGGATTATGGTACACAATTTACCTTCTAAATCTGAACCGATTTTTCCCAATTTCAATAGGGTTCGTCCTTGGGCCAAACAAATGTGCTGTTCCAAATTTCATCCAAATCGGATCATAAATGCGACCTGTACTTTGTTTACAATTTAACATGGACAGACCGACAGACGGACGGACATGCATAAATCGACTCAGAAAGTGATTCTATGCATATTCTCAAAAGGAACCATGGGTCTATCTCGTTTCCTTTTGCCTGTTACAAACATATGCACAAAGACATAATACCCCGTACCACAGTGTGGTGAAGGGTATAAAAATAAAAGGGTAATTTAATGGCGGCCTAAACGTCGTAAAGTTTGGTCGGAACTTTTTATATCCTGCAAAAAAGTAGACCAGTATCAATAATTTTTGGTAAGAAAATTCGCTACCTAATGAAAATTTAAAATGCTAAATTATAGCCAATTTGGTTGAACAACGTTCTCAAACCCCTCAAAAGGGGGATACGGTTATATGGAGGCTCTACTAAAAAGGATACCCATATCAATAATTTTTGGTGAGGAGATTGGCTATGAAACTGCAAAATACTAGACAAAGTACTAACTATCCTAAAAAGTGCACCAATTTCCCTACCAAATATTAGGTTGGGGAAAAAGAAATCCATTATTTTACTGATAGATTTCTCGTAAAGTATTGATCAAACCATTCAGATTATGCTCGTTGCACTTTTTTGTTTGGTATATCCAGTTGTAAGTTACAGGGTGTTTCAAAAGGAAGTGAACAAAGAGAAAATTCGGTACATTTTACAGTTTTTATTTGACAAAGGCGAAAATTCAAGCCAAGCGGCTAAAATTGTGAATGGTTTTTATGGTTCCGATACTGTAACATCCAATTATGTGCAATTTTGGTTTCGTAGATTTCGTTCAGGAATTTTTGATGTTAAAGGTACAACTTTAACGGAGAAATAATCGAAGTTGACCGGCATGTTAGCAGTCTTAACATCGCCCGGGAGCTAAAACTCGACCATAAAACTGTTTTAAACCATTTACACAAATTTCAAAGCTACATCCTCAATATTTGGAGGTCTATCCAAGTGATTTCAACATATCCATATAGTGGAGAGTATAAATTTGTTTTTTCTCAGAACCCGGAACGCCAAATTCGACCATTAAGGAAAGTAGTAAAGTCGGACTGGGCCGACTGTATGATACCCTTCACCACTTTGGGTATATTCTACATATGTATCCTAACATATGTAGAATATATCTGAACCGATTTCAGGGAAACTTGCCAGAGACTAATCCATGTTACATCAGTACGTTGTGTCAGTCGGCCTAGCTACGGATCTTTCACGAAGCTTATCAACATTATTCTAGACTTAATTCTGTACCCTATACCAAAATTCGTACAATTCGAAAGATATACAGGGACTTTGGTGCACCAGTTACATAAAATCGGACGAAAATATATATGGGAGCTATATCTAAATCTTAACCGATTTTCAGGAAACTTAACACACATCATTCTAGACCAAATTAATTACGCTGTGCCAAATTTCGTGCAGATCGAAAGATATTTAGGGACTTTGGCGCACCATTTACCTTAAATCAGACGAAAATATATATGGGAGCTATGTTTAAATCTCGACCGATTTCCAGGAAACTTAGCACACATCATTCTAAACATAATTCATTACGCTATGACAAATTTCGTGCAAATCGAAAGATATGTAGGGACATTGGTACACCATTTACATTAAATCGGACGAAAATATATATGGGAGTTATATCTAAATCTGGACCGATTTTTCCCAATTCCTATGCCAAATTTCATCCAATTCGGATCCTGTACTTTGTTTACAATTTAACATGGACATACAGACGGACGGACGGACATGCATAAATCGATTTAAAAAGTGAGTCTATGCATATTCTAAAAAGAAACCGTGTGTCTATCTCGTTTCCTTTTGCATGTTACAAACATATGCACAAAGACATAATACCCTGTACCACAGTGTGGTGAAGTACCACAGTATGGTCATGGCTAAATCGTCATACAATTTTACTCAGATCAAGAATATATTTAAGTCTCCGGTATTCAGATATCCGGTGAGTATTTCGATGTGTTGCAAACGGAATGATTCATACAAACACTCCACTCTATGGTGTAGGATAGACAAAAAGAGTCTTTGTACTCACCCTCCAACAGCAAGTCTTCTACACCCAATTCCCCAACATTTTCAGCCAAAATCTCAAAAAAGTCCCTTGGCAAGTTCATTAGCTTCAATTCGATGCAACGTAAATTCTTTAAACTCGCAACAAATTTCTGAACCAATTCGCTGTCAGCCACCTGCAGACCCACCAGTTTAACATTCTGCAGTTGAGGTCGTAATTTGATAAATTTAACGATAATGGTAAAATCGCGTACGAGATTAAATGACCGTCTCATACGTTCTTCAAACCAAAGATTTTCGAAAACAAAATTACGATATGGCATTTGATCGTACTCACGCTGCCAACAGTCCAACAGTAATAATGTTAAATTGCGATTTTTTATGGGCTGCGGATTGTTAAAACAGGGCACAATACGATCACACATTGTAATGAATTTGAAAATTATTTAAGATAAATAGAAATTATTAAAAATTTGACATACAATGAGTAACTTTGTCAATTTCGAAGAACTTTTATAAATGCGCCTAAAAATATGCTTTACTTTTTAAAACGTGTATGAAATGGGCTCACATTGGGATAATTTACAAACGTTTTAGGAGCATTCTATATATAACATACGTGCAATGTGCGAAAAAGAAAAATTCAAAACACTGGGTGGGGCTTTTTATATCCTCCACCATGTGGTATACCTTCAAAAATGTCATAAATCGATAAGGAGAGGTCTGTAAGGTGACTATTTCAATATAAGTTTTCGGATAGTAGTTTTTCATGATCTAAGCAATTATATACCATATTCTGAATAAGGTCTATTTGGAAAACTAAAATAGGATCTTCCAAATACCAAAAATTGAGCGGTACGGTGCTAAATTACAGCCACTTCGATGACAAATTCGGATAAAATTTTCAAAATATCGAAAATAGGCCTGGAATTTTTATATGGGGCTTATGTCAAATCATGGATTTTTTTTTTTTCAAAAAATGTTTCACCATCCACTAACCCCGAATGTCAAATTATAGCCGTAATTTCAAAACATGGAAAATGTCGATGAATATCTTATTTATTTCAAAGGGAAATCCTAGCCAACCCTTTTGACGTAGGAATAAGTACAGCTCGATCAACTCTAAATGTATCCTGACTTTATGCAAAAGTTCTCAATAATGTTTCCAAACTGTCCTTTTTATACCCTTCACCACACTGTGGTACAGGGTATTATGTCTTTGTGCATATGTTTGTAACAGGCAAAAATAATCGAGATAGACCCATGGTTGCTTTTGAGAATATGCATAGAATCACTTTCTGAGTCGATTTATGCATGTCCGTCTGACCGTCCGTCCGTCATGTATTTTTGTTAACAAAGTACAGGTCGCATTTATGATCCGATTTGGATGAAATTTGGCACAGGTCACTTAATTGGCCCAAGGACGAACCTTATTGAAATTGGAGAAAATCGGTCCACGTTTAGGCATAGCTCCCATATAAGGGTACCCCCCAATTTCCGGTATATTGAGGTTATTTAGCACGTTTTTTAACTGAATTCGCTGAAATTTGGTACTTTGAGTTCTTATTGGGTAGCAAATCTCCCTACTAAAAACTATAAATATAGGTCCATTTTTTCGGATAGTCCCCATATAAGGGTAGCCCCAATTTTCGGTATTTTGGGGGTTTTGATCGCATTTTTGGATCGAATTCGCTGAAATTTGGTACTTTGAGTTCTTATTGGGTAGCAAATTTCCCTACTAAAAATTATAAATATAGGTCAATTTTTTCGGATAGCCCCCATATAAGGGTACCCACAATTTTCGGTATTTTGGGGTTCTTGAGCTCGTTTTATAACTGAATTCTCTGAAATTTTGTACATTGGTTTCTTATTGGGTACCAAATTACTCCACTAAAAATTATAAATATAAGTCCAGTTTTTCTGGTAGTCCCCATAAAACGGTACCCCCAAATTGTTGGTATTTTGGGGGTTCTGATCGTATTTTTCGACCGAATTGACTGTAATTTAGTACGTCGAGTTCTTATTAGGTAGCAAATCTCTCCACTATAAATTATAAATATAGGTCAATTTATTCGGGTAACCCCCATATAAGGGTACCCCCCAAATTTCGGTATTTTGGGGTTCTTGAGCGCGTTTTTCAACCAAATTCTTTGTAATTTGGTTTTTTATACCCTTCACCACACTGTGGTAGAGGGTATTATGTCTTTGTGCATATGTTTGTAACAGGCAAAATGAATCAAGATATGCATATAATCACTTTTTAAGTCGATTTATGCATGTCCGTCCGTCTGTAAACAAAGTACAGGTCGCATTTATTATCCGAATTGGATGAAATTTGGCATACGTCACTTATTTGGCCCAAGGACGAACCCTATATTGGGAAAAATCGGTTCAGATTTATATGTAGCTCCCATATAAGCTTTCGTCCGATTTAAAGTAAATGGTGCACCAATGTCCCTAAATATCTTTCGATTTGCACGAAATTTGGCACAGCGTACTGAATTAAGCCTAGAATGATGTGTGCTAAGTTTCGTGAAATCGGTTCAGATTTAGATATAACTCCCATATATATTTTCGTCCGATTTAAGGAAAATGGTGTACCAAAGTCTCTGTATACCTTTCGATTTCCACGAAATTTGGTACAGCGTACTGAATAAAGTCTAGAATGATGTGTGTTAAGTTTCGTGAAAATCAAAAATGTGACGTCTGTTAAGATTCATCTGTTGAATTTACCCAAAGTGGTGAAGGGTATCATATAGTCGGCCCCGTCCGACTTTACCACTCCTATGGCTCTGATGATAGTTGAAAAAATATTCTTTAAAAATCCACGCCTATGGCTCTGATGATAGTTGAAAAAATATTCTTTAAAAATCCACGCCTATGGCTCTGATGATAGTTGAAAAAATATTCTTTAAAAATCCACGCCTATGGCTCTGATGATAGTTGAAAAAATATTGTTTAAAAATCCACGCCTATGGCTCTGATGATAGTTGAAAAAATATTGTTTAAAAATCCACGCCTATGGCTCTGATGATAGTTGAAAAAATATTGTTTAAAAATCCACGCCTATGGCTCTGATGATAGTTGAAAAAATATTCTTTAAAAATCCACGCCTATGGCTCTGATGATAGTTGAAAAAATATTCTTTAAAAATCCACGCCTATGGCTCTGATGATAGTTGAAAAAATATTGTTTAAAAATCCACGCCTATGGCTCTGATGATAGTTGAAAAAATATTCTTTAAAAATCCACGCCTATGGCTCTGATGATAGTTGAAAAAATATTGTTTAAAAATCCACGCCTATGGCTCTGATGATAGTTGAAAAAATATTGTTTAAAAATCCACGCCTATGGCTCTGATGATAGTTGAAAAAATATTCCTTAAAAAATCCACGCCTATGGCTCTGATGATAGTTGAAAAAATATTGTTTAAAAATCCACGCCTATGGCTCTGATGATAGTTGAAAAAATATTGTTTAAAAATCCACGCCTATGGCTCTGATGATAGTTGAAAAAATATTGTTTAAAAATCCACGCCTATGGCTCTGATGATAGTTGAAAAAATATTGTTTAAAAATCCACGCCTATGGCTCTGATGATAGTTGAAAAAATATTGTTTAAAAATCCACGCCTATGGCTCTGATGATAGTTGAAAAAATATTGTTTAAAAATCCACGCCTATGGCTCTGATGATAGTTGAAAAAATATTGTTTAAAAATCCACGCCTATGGCTCTGATGATAGTTGAAA